ATCAGCCTCTGCAACGCTCCTGATCCTGGCCTATGAGAGGACAGTTGACCACAACATACAACAAATATCAGTTTATGAATGAGACTTTGTCTATCAGAGGTAGGTTACTGTCAGAACTTTCACAATGATGATGGTCGACGCTAAATATCATGAAACCACATGAAAATCTTTCCCACTGGCCACATGATAGATAGTATTGTCCCCATATTTTGCTAGATAAAAGCTGCTTTGATCCGACCTAAAATTTCGCCCAGCATGTACGGAAAAATGAAGGAAATATTTCCTGTTTCAACAATTATTGCTGAGGCAATATTACGAGGATGAGTATGATTTTTTCACAATTTTATCAGAACTTGAAATTTTCCATAATATATGGGAAGGTTTTCGAAAAAAAATAATAATAGTACTACATAAGTACCTACTTATATTACAACCCGAGACAGGACATTATTTATCAGAGAAAAGTAAGTAGGTACATATATTATTTTATTTTAAAACTTGGTTTCTTGAAAAAATAAAATCAAATTTCGTGTCAACCTTTTTTTTAAATCTTTAAATTAAATTGAATGTCATGCCATCCATTTTGGGAATGAGTCGAGATGACATGAAGAGCAAATTACATGAAGCTGGATATTTCATGGATCAATCAAACCGCTCTGGAGCTTAGGTTCCATTACTTTTTAGGAAACATTCCGTCACAATTATTGCCAAGTACATTGATATTTTCGTTTTGTTGACAGCCAACTGAGATAAATATGAAAATGTTTGCCAACAAAAACCAGGGAGCCAGGGAAGAAATGACTATTGTTTTTCGTAGGTACCAGAAAATTTCGAATAAAGATGAAGTACGCAGTGAGAGAAACTCCTTTTTTAGTGTGATTGTGCGACATAAGCCCTTTCCACAGTTGGAGAAGATAAGTACCTAACCACTGCAGCGACCCGAAGCCTTCCTCCAGACTGCAATTCCAAGAAAAAGCCTACAGAGAATAAATCAATCAAGATTGGATCCGATAGAGAGGCCATTGCTGCATGTAAGTCTCATATGCACCAAAGTAACGCTGATATTATTGTAGAGTCAAAGGTGAATAACGACACAATGCTCAACTTTGACCCGATGACCCCACCTATAGTGCGAATATCGCGAAACTCCGATATAGCAAATGGACGCTATCTACTGGCTAGATTGAGAGACCCTTCCATCTTAAAAACTCTTAGGCTTTACCTAGCCTATCTCCACGACCAGCCCCCCAATGTGTGTTTTGAAGGTTACACCAACACCAGCATTAAATTAGCGTTAGCATCAGAGGGCCTACCGAGTGACGTGGATTCCTTACGCAAGCTGTATTATCGTTTCCACAGCGCCTATGGCATCGATTCGGCTGAAGTTGAAGCGGATCTTTCTGCCTTCAGATCGTTTTTCTCTTCGGAAAAAATCCAACAGCTTCAAAAAATTAGGGAGAGTCATTCTAAGTACTTTTCTGGTGGTTCTCCAAATAACAAAAATTTTTAGATACCTTGACGCGAATAGAGGAACAAGCACCCTCTGAAACAATTAACGATAGCAAGCTTAGTGTATTTCTCATCAATATTCAGTCCATTAGGCACAAAACCGATGAATTAAATTTATTATTAGAACACCTACATTTTCCAGAAATTATTGCCATAACAGAACATTGGCTCAATATTGACGAGCCTGTGTTTGTCAAAAACTACACTACAGTATCTAGGTATCCTAGAAGTATACTATCTCATGGAGGTACTGTAATAATGTCCACTAATAACAACTTTTCGGCGATAACCAAGTTCGACAATTTATAATCTGAAAAATTATTCGAATTTTCTATAGTCTACAACAATATCTACGACGTCTACATTGTTTGTATTTACAGAACACCTGACGCTGACTTGGTTACATTTTTTCAAAACTTACTAAGCTTGCTTGAGTCTTTCCCTCTTAAGAGTAAATTAATTTTATGTGGCGACTTTAACATAGATTTTTACAGTGTGTGTGCCGCTCAAGATTCTCTCCAGTCTATACTAGACTCTTTTGGTATGGTCATGCATGTTCAATCTCCAACCCGAATAACTAAAACCAGATCTAGCACTATCGACTACGTCGTGTCATCTTTTGATCCAAGCTTTGTTGACTGTACTGTCTTAAGTTCAGGGTTTTCAGATCATGAAGCAGTACTCACAAACTTTTCTCTAAAGAGCAATAGCAGGATTGCCCCACGTAAGTTTCGCCGAATTTATTCGGAAAAAAATTTCCTGAATTTCAAGCGCTCATGTCAAACAATTGACTGGGGTTGCCTCTCTGATGACATCAATAATGCATTTTCAACATTTTCAAATAAATTATCTGGTTTGGCTTTCAAAGCATTTCCCCTCAGGCTTATCAAAAATAACCAACATAAACCCTGGACTACTAAAGGCTTGCGGACATCGGCAAAGAACATGCGCTCATTGTCACACCTAAAAAAATTTTCAGACAGTCCTTCTTTCAAAATTACGTTAAACTCTATAGAAAAATTTATCATAAAACTATAAAAGCCGCCAAAGACACCTATTATAACAACCGGTTCGCTAGAACTGAAAATATTGCCAAAGAAACGTGGTCTATTGTCAACGACTTGAGAAATAAGGCTATCTCTTCCAGTATAACCTCTACTTCCCCTGAGAACCTGAATAACTACTTTGTAAATGTGGCAAAAAATTTAATGACCACTATAGCTCCTTCTCGCGATCCGCTTTCATATCTTTCCAGTACCAATATGAATTTACACAGTTTCTTCCTAACACCCGTAGAAACACTAGAGCTTTTCAGCACAATTAAAGACATAAAAAACAAAGTGTCATCTGGGACTGATGGACTAACTTTAAAAATGTTCTTCAATTTACCGGAGTGTACATTAAATCTCCTCACTGCTTTAATAAATAAATCTTTTCAACAAGGAGTGTTCCCAGATTGCCTCAAGACGGCTATAATTATTCCTCTGCACAAGGGAGGTGATAAGGACCAAGAGTCGAACTATCGTCCAATTGCACTTCTTCCTACTTTATCCAAAATCATTGAAAGATTGGTTAAGAAAAGGCTTCTATCATTTCTGCATAAATATAATATACTAACTATCCACCAATTTGGATTTTTAACCAACAAATGCACTATTGATGCTATGTTCTCTGTCTCCAATAATGTCTTCTCTAGCTTGAACAATTTGCACTCCACAGCATCAATTTTCTGTGATTTTTCTAAAGCATTCGACTGTGTAAGTCATAATATCCTAATTAACAAATTGCAGCATTATGGAATTCGAGGCTCTCCTCTGGAATGGTTCAAGTCGTATCTTAACAACAGAAAACAGCTTGTGAGGGTTGACACGACGATGTCTTCATGCAAGCCAATAGAATGTGGAGTTCCACAGGGTTCCGTGTTGGGTCCAATATTATTTTTGCTGTTTATCAACGATATTGCTAGTCTAGACATCAGCGGTAAAATCTGTCTTTTTGCTGATGATACTAGTTTCACTTGGAGCAACCCGGATATTGTAGCTCTTCATAGAACCATGTCCATCGACTTGTTGGCTATTAAAACATGGTGCGACTCTAACTTCCTCTGCTTCAACGCTGCGAAAACAAAAGTTCTATCATATAGAAGTACGATGCAACCTATTGTACTTAATAACACTACTACTATTGACGTCGTTGATTCCGTAAAGTTTTTGGGCCTTATTATAGACAAATCCCTAAAATGGAATTCGCACATCGATTCTTTATCAAAAAAATTAAGTTCCGCTTGCTTTGCGATAAGATCAGTTTCCAAGGAACTCAACTTGTCAACTTCTAGAACAGTCTACTTTGCCCTTTTCGAATCACATCTTCGATACGCCCTTCCATTCTGGGGCTCGTGCTGTGCGACTCAATTTGACCGTATTTTTAAATTACAAAAGAGAGCTATTAGATATTCCCTAAAATTAAAAAATAGAGCTCATTGCCAAGATTTTTTCAAAAAATATAAAATATTATCACTTCCGTCCCTTTTCATACTAGAATCAGTCTGCCTTATCCGCAAACACCTACCCAGTATTTCAGAAAGGCCATTGCATAACTATCCACTTAGAAACGCGGAGCATGATCTTTATCTGCCAACTCCATCCTCCCAGTTAATTAAGAGCTCCATTCGATACAACGCAAAAAAAATGCACAATCATCTGCTAGTAGTCATCAAGTCCATAGCATCTCTTCCTAAATTTCGCATAGCTCTAAAATCCTATTTATCAGAGAGAGCCTTATATAAAGTAAATGACTTTTTTCTGACTTAATTTTGAGCGTTCCACACACTGGATCATAGTTTATAGGTGATTTGTTCATTTTTATATTTGTTCATGTTATATTTGTTTATGTTTATATCATTTTATTTTGACTTTGTATACATGTAAATGTATATAATATGTATTTTTAACTTTAAGGCTTTGTCTACAAATTATGTTATAATTTTTTTGACAATAAAGCATTATTATTAAAAGTTTTTCTGAAAAAGAGAAAAACAAAAGAACGTCGACAAAAGCAAACACTCATCCAGCTTCGATGCAATTTGTTTTGAGAATGCGGTAGGAAAGATCAAACGAACCTCGCCACTTCACTGTCGACTCAGATGCTAACCAGCAGAACGTTTTTAGGATACCATCAAGTAAATGGCTGCTAATGGAATCTCTTTGACCCCGAGGAATGGATCTGGCACCACCAGAACACTGGAAATTGATTTTATGCGGATTTCCACGCCATTAAATGCGGAAAGGTTGCAATTTCCGCAAGGCTTGAAGTGCGCCAAGATTTTCCAAAAGGGTTCCCAAAGTAATCAAATGACTGGGACAAGATAGCATTGGAGAAAAAAACCCTACTATCCCATTGTCTCACGAGATATCGCAAAAGAAAATGAAGAGTCATTCCCCCACCTCAAAAACACGGGGCAGATAAGCAGCTTTGCAACCTCAAAAAAACAATATTATTTTAGTTTAAATAAATTTATTTATAAATAAAGATTACAATCTATCTAAATCTCACTAAAATAAATAAAAATATAATATAAAGATAATGAGCAAAAATAGATAATCTAAATGATATCACTTTGCAGATTTAGCCATCACACTCGCACAGCCACTCCTATAATTCACTCATACAGCCACAAGCACCAGCACATATTTGGAAAAAAGCCAACAAAACAATAAATAGAGTGCGATCTTTCATGAAAGATCTCTTTAACAACAAGATTTACTAGCTACTTAGATTCCACTTTTTCCCAGCTATGTACACCATCTAGGTTGGTATTTATTGCCCTAAAACCATTTACAATAATAATTAAACTGGCCCATCAATATCATGCTGATAACGCCAAGTCAGGTACTGAGCTGCTTCAGTCATCTGCCTGAGTGAACTGGTCAAACCAGTTAAATGCCTTTGGAAGTCGTGAGCTATTCTTTCGGTGTGACATTCCTCTTGAACCACTTCTTCTATGCCCGAGTCATTCTCGTTACCACTGGCATCTGACTCAGAATCACTGAGTGCGGAGGTGCTCGAATTTGTCGAAGCTACGCTTACAGTTGATGGTCGGCGAATATGGCCTTTCATTGGTAATTGTGGTACTGAAATAAAATGAAAGATTTAAACAACTGTTATAAAATAAGCCTTTTGTAAAAAATGCACACAAAGTTAAAATTATTTAAAATATTTTCACGTATTCTAAAACAAAATTCGGATCAATAATAGAAACATACACTCAGCACTCTCAGCCGCCAATAAACTGGTACACCTACATACATATAATTCCGAGAATTGCCCGATTTTGTTAATAACTACAAATAAACATAAGGCACGTATTTGGACTGATTGCAAATAAATAGTACAAGATGAGTTTCGCAAGTCGGCACTAGAGCGAAAGATTAGTAGAAAGATGCCTTATAGAAGAAAAAGAAAACCTAAGAGCTAGAAAACTAATTAGCCGGAACTCCTAAAAGTTGCTGAATTGCAAATGGCAAAAATTCATCTAAACCACGAGAAAGGTTGTGGAGAAGACAAGGATAATGATATATGCAATGCAAAATAACTGAGTTTTAAAGAGGATCTATCATGCTTTTGGTTGGCGTTTCTAATGAACTTTATAACGAGCAACGAGCTAGTTCTTATTGATGGTCATGGCTTAACTAGCCAGCCACAGATACATCAAGATGATTCTAGAAAAATATGTGGATGTTATTGATGGGTTTAGAGATGAAAACTTTATTATAATGTACGATAGCGCAGGAAGAGTAACATAATACCTCCAGGAAGTGGAAATTGAAGTTATGGACTGACTACTAGGTATTCCTTGAGAAACTTTTTGTAATTGAAACAGAGGGTTTGATCCACAGTATCAAGTAACTCTTGTTTTCGTTATTCTGCAATGTATTCTAGTGGAAAGAGAATACTTGTGTAGATTTATAAAATGCAGAGTTTTCCCGTATATTTTTGAACCCCACCTGCAGCATTTACCTTTACAGGTAGATGATCGGGGTAACAAAAGTTGTGCAGTTTTAGCTAAATTTTTAAAATCCATCGTCAGAGACAAAAGTTTATTATCAAAAATTCGAAATTTTGCTTACTGTCAACTTTTTTCAAATGGAATGCCCTATGTTCGATTCAATATTCTTGAAGAGCACAATTTTTTGATTCATTTGAAAAAAGTTGAAGGCACACAAAATTTCCAATTTCTGAAAATAAATTTTTGCTTCTGACAATGGACTCTAAAAATTTGGCTAAAACTGAACCTATCATCTACCTGTAAATGTAAAGGCTGCAGGTGAGGTGCAAAAATATACGGGAAAACCTGTACCTCGAAATGTACACAAAATATTCAGAACTTATTACCTTTATCCCCCTTTGAACACTTTTTGACCAATGGAAAAAGAAAAAAAATTCCCAAAATTTGTAACTGTTCTACTTTTTTTGCAGGTCAGTGTATCCAAATTATGGCAGTGAAACATGACATCATTAGACCCAAGGTTTGCGCTGGTATTGTTGACAAGTACCTTCATAAACATTACTTGTAAACCTTGCTAAATACGCGATTTATTAACACTATAAACTAGTCACTAGTCAAAGACTAATGAATTAAAAATAGCAAAATTTCCAAATTGCTGTAATAAAAGTGAGAACAATCGTCATCTTTACAAATATTTTTGGCAAGGTTACTATAATAAGTTTTCTCGAAAACTGATGATAACATATACATCATTTTAGGAATTTATAAATAAAAGCATTAAATGGTTTCATCAGAATCTGCTGATATCAACGTAAAGATGAATCATTTCCCTAAGTGAACCTCAAAATAAAACATTGATAACCTCGCAACATAGATATTATTATCATAATAATTATAATAACTATAAAAACCAAAATTGGACTTCGTTTGTTTGGGTTAGGCATAACTGGCATGGTTGAATTTATTGCAATTAATTTAAATTCTTACCTAAAGTAGTATCCTGAATGATGTCTTGAGATTGTTGGGACTGACCTCCCCATAATAGCCCATCTTTAACATTTTTGAGCATGCTGTAAATTTCGAACAGATCTGTTGAATCCAGCGTTTGTTGCACTGAATGTTTCTTGTTCTTGGTGTTGTGTTTATCAGAAGTGGGATCCTGGTCGTCGCCAACTTTCAAGTCCATCAACCGACAAGGTACCAGGATGGTTTCATCCATGGCATTGACAGTTTTGACAAATTTCTCAATGACATTCATGATGCTGTGCGGTGAACTCTCTGTATCATCGTTTCGTGCAATACGACGTAGGCAATTCCTGTGAAAAAAAAAATATCGTTAACACGTGCGACTTTGTCAATAATTAGCGAATTTTTAGTCGATAGTTCAGTATGAACATGATGTTACTTTTTTGATATAGGTACAGGCTGTTTCCTAAGTACCTTTTTACGTTCAGTAACTAAAGGATGCAATACCCTATGGTATTTCAAAAGAATTTATTTTCTATGATCATGTGTCCGAAATGCATTGCTTCGGAGATATAGGGTGTTCAAGTTTTCTTAAAAAATAAGTGGTTCACAAAATTTCTAAGAGTGCAGGCTTTGTAACAACATAAGTTTTCATGTTTCTGCTTTTTCATTTATTATATCAGATGATATGGGAGGTGAAAAAATTGTTTGTGCTTTAATAAAAATTCTCGTATTCTATCCTTCGGCGCTCCCCTACTCATTGCGTAAATATAGAAGTGCCTTCATCCTAAATCCGACACATTGTACATACATGATGTCCCACGACGAACTATATCACGATCGATTTCTCGGAAAATATACATACTTTGGAAAATTTAAAAAATTTGGCGACATAGCAATGTCAAGATTGCGACACTTCCGGTTATACCAAAGTTTATTTTCCGAGAAATCGATCGCGGCAGTTCGTCGTGGGTCAACCTGTATATTTTCAAATTGTCTAGAAAAAGCAAACTAATTCCGATTGCGTCTGTTTATTTATTTCGAAAATAAAAATTAGCTACAATCTTATTACTGCACTTGTTAGTTGCAAACAAAACAATTATCGATTAAAAGTTCAAAGATTACTTCTTATTGTTGGATAGGGTCAATGAGCGACAATTTCTTTAGGGAAATTGAATATAGTTTATTTAAGTATATATAATATAATAAACATATACAGGGTGTATATTTTAGGTGATACCACTATTGCTATATGCGAAACGGTAAGAGCTACAAGGTCGGTTAAATTAGAAAAAAGTTGCCTTCTTTGACGCCTATTTAAGACTATTTTACAGTGTTGCCAAATTCCTTTTAGTTTATTAAATACAGGTTCATAACTTGGGCCGAATTAAGGTAAGATTTTGGTAAAAATCACTTTTTATCACTTTTTGGAGCAGAAACGTCAATCATACTTAATGGCATATCATTAGAAAGGGAATAAAAAGCGCTTTCTTAAAATTACATAAAAAATCCAAGTCCGTATTTAAAAAAATAAAGTTGATGATGGTAGCTCAATCACGAAACGTATGATTCAAAATTTGAAGATGCCATATTGTAGAGCGAAAAAAATTAAAAAACTTTCAGATTCAAATTGTGTCTCCAAAATCAATAGTTTTCGAAATAATTGACGAAATATTTTTAGGCGTTTCTTAGAAATCAGCCTGTATTTCATAAAGCAAAAGGAATTTGGCAACACTGTAAGCAAGCCTTGAATGGGCATCAAAAAAGGCAACTTTTTTCTAATTTAACCGACCTTGTAGCTCTTACCGTTTCGGATATAGCAATAGTGGTATCACTTAAAATATACACCCTGTATATAAAACTGCTGACCGAATTATAATTGATAGGTAATGATGAATAGTCTACCTAATTGTCCCAATTATACTTATACCTAAATTTTAATTATTATACCCACAATAAGGAAGCAAACTATAAAATTTTCAAATGTAAAAGTCATGAAAAAAAATATAATTTACAGAAAGAAATCAATTATTATTGTGCTACATATACAACTTATGTTAAATGCATAAAAAACGCTGCAGGTTAAGCTTTTAAACTATATTGTTGAAATAATTACAGTTTACGTAACTTTATAACAATCCCATTATATTTATTTTTTAATTAAAGTCTGGCGCTGTTGTGAATATTAGGTAAGATGTAGAACCTGAAGCAAAAAGACTTGCGTTTCAGAAAAAAAATCAATAAAAAAATTATGTACATCAAAAATATTTTAAAAAGTGGACAAATTACATATATGTATTCATCTGGCAAAGTATGAATAGAAATCAGAGTTTTCGAACTATGATAAAATAGGTAGAAAATGTTTCCTTTGTAAATTTAGAAAAAAAGATCTCACAATGTAGGTACCAATTGAGTAAATGTAATTTATAAAATTTCTTAGACCGAGCTGAACATTAAAAAAAATCAGTATTCACGTGGTGTAAATCATAATTAAGGGAAACATAAAACAAAGATAATAACCAGATTTAACGGGATCACTACATTTTATTTATACTGAAAACTAATAAGGTCAAGTGTCATTGTTCATAAGAAAACTGTCTGACACGAATCTTATCTATGTCTGAACCTAAATATGCAGTTGAAAGTCCAAATTTGTTACCAAGGTTTAACTATATCTCACAATATCGTATTTGTCATCTGGGGCACGTTTAGTGATTCTGGAGACCAATTAACACATTTATACAAGTAATACATATAAAAATATGCAAATTTTGATACCACCGAACTTTTAGTTTTTTTTTATGAAAATATTATAACCTAAGCGGGTTCGTGGATAAGTGAGGCTATTTTTCCAGTCGCCACTCTAAGGTTTTAACTAATTTAAGTATATGAACCTGATCGTGTTTCCGTCCAGTTCAGAACTCTCGAAACTGGTCGAACATTCAATTTTTTTCCTTCTTGTAACTTTTCGCTTCCGTATTTCACATCACCTTTTCCTATTTTTAATATGTTTCAGATTATTCTATGTTCTCTATCATATTAGGCGTTGGATTCCAGTTTCCGGCACAGGTATGTCTTTCCATCTCTTTTGTGAATCTTTCCCAGTGTCCTTCATTAATCTTTTTTATTCTGGCATTTACTCTATCCCGTTCTATTTTATATAGTGTCTAGTTTTCTTGGTTCCTTCTTTTTTTTTCTTGTATTCGCACATTTACTTTACTGGATCATCAGGTCAAATAAAAGAGTACTTAGAAAGTCTAACCCCGACTGCGGTCACACATCATTAACATTGAAAAGTCGCAAGAAAAAAGAAACTACACTATAAATGCGGGACCAATCAAAAACGATGACAATACTTGGGATAGGAACAATAAAAAGAAAACCCAGTTGCCTCCAAGTCTTCAGAAGAAAATCGAATAAAAGATGTGCCATTCCAGATTCCAGATTTCATAGTTGAGGATGTAGAACAAACAATAAAAGATATCAATATTGAAAAAGTAGCCATCTTCGATCTAATTTATAATCCCTGCAAGACATGTAGGTACCATTAACGACACTGATAATCAGAAATGTGCCACAATAGGTGGCATTAGAAAATATTGAAGAGATTTCTGACAAATGTCAAGGTGAACATAAATATTCAAGTGAACAGTAAACAAAACAATGCAAAAATTGGTAGATTAAAAAGCAAGGGCATACAAAAGTTATTACGCAAAAATTGCAGTTTTTTTATCGTTGCCGAATTAAATTTTTAAATGTGGATGATAAGTAATGCAAATTATCAATTTTTTTTTCAGCAAAGAGCAAGGGGAAGAGAAAGTTTCCTTTTCGCTTGACCAAACAATAAAAATTGAGGTATTTTGCTGTCATCTGATGCATAAAAACTCGCTATAATTGAAGGGAATAAACGAAAAGAACAAAACGAATATGAGAGTATGGCAAATTACTTAGTTGTTTGCTACAACATACATAGTTACCTAACAGTAATTGTAACAATTTTGATTGGATTATCTCAATAAATGATGATAATGAAAATCCAATACAATAACACAAATCTGTTGCACTTCCGAAACATGATAGGTACCCAATAATATTATTATACTTTGTATGTATGGCACAATTTTTCATTGATCAATTTGCAAAACGCACCAGAAAAAAGCATCACTAATAAACTGATCTAATTAAACATAAGTAAACAATAAACAAAACTTCTAACCTTTCAGACAGCCTTTTATATTGTTTCTCGGTTTGACTAGGCAAAAACAACATTTCGTTTAAATGAAATTCAAAAACTCGAAAAAATCAATTAAGTATATCGACAACGCGCACAAGTTTTGTCAACTAAAGTCGTTTAAGTATTAGCCTCCACAATTAAATAGACTAAAACGAAAATTTAAGGAGGGGACAAATAAATGACGCAATCGAAAAAAAAAAAATATAATTTGGTAGTAGGACATACAACCATCACATTCATGATGACCGGTATTTTTTTATTTAATTTTTTCTTATGTTTATTTTCATTTTGAATGACTTGGCATCTCTTGGGAATTGGGAATTACAAGGTGCTTAGGTGAAGATTTTTAAATGATTAGCATATCTAATATATTATAATTCTGACTATAAAATTCAAAACGATTGGAATTTCAAGATCGGATCGCTACTAGTCGGAGAACGAGCAACGTCTAACGTGCAACCTCTATAAGACATCCCGAACAACCACCTAGAAAAAATGTTTTCTTATGTAAATTGACCTGGCGGATCCGATTTTGGAGTTCGCCAGTTGATCTGGAATTGCGAAACTGGTCAAAACCGGCATTTTCCAAAAAATATCCAATTTTATGGATTTTTCTAAATTTTTATTCAACTCGCTGTATCTCCCTTAGTTTTAGTCCGATTGAATTGAAATTTTTTGGAGAGCCAATTTAGACCTTTGTTACTACGACTGACATAACAGAAATGCAGAAAAAAAATTACGAGTCACCATATTATATTTCTTTCAAGTTAGTGACACGAAAATTGTTAAAATTGCAGCCAGAAATACTCGATCGAGAAAACTTTTTTGTTTTTGAAGATAGATATATATAGTAAGCGACAAAGTTGTAGCCAAAGAACCAAAGAAGTTTTTTTATTCTTGTGATTTTTTTGATAACTTACTTACGTTTTTGAGAAAACGAATCCCCAATATAGAAAAAAAACTAACGCGGCCGCGGCAAGTCAGGCCACGTATAGGTATAGTCTATCGATAGTCAAATGAGACAGTAAAAAAAATAATATTCCTTTGGCCGTCGGCATTTTCTTTATGAAGCACCGGCGGAGTAAGAGAAATTTATTAAAAAAGTTTTATATAAAA